TGATCATTTCATTGAATTTATCATCCCCAAAAGCAGTGATTATTGAAACCAAAAATTTACTAAGGTGACGTCACCATTTTGACTATCAAAATACTCTAAATTATATGCCTTTATTATTTAAATTATATTTAATTAAGGTAGTCTAGTAAAATTTTCCAATTGAAATTTGTTTTCACCATGTGGAAAATTGTCTATGTACAAAATTTCAGGAAGATACCTCATTTTGTTCATAAAATATTGCTATCTAGCAACAAAAAAGTATTTTGCAAAAAATTTAGACTCAGCCTAAATAAGAAAATTAAATCCTGAATATCTCAAGAACCATAAGGAGTTAAAGGCTCCAAACTTTAGATTTTCCTAATTTTCATAAACCCTATATATAAAAAAATTAGCAAAATCCAAAACATCGGGTATGAGCCTGCTGATTTGACAGGGAACTACATTTATAAAAATTTTATAATATAAAGAGATGAATTTAAAAAAATGGCTTTATCAAGGAACACCTTGTTTCATTAAGAAATGAAATACTATAATGTTTAATTTAATGAAGAGAAACAAATTATGTATATATATATATTTATATATACATTTTCGATATTTCGCTGATCTTTCTGATGAATACCAGGTATTATACCTGATGACGCTGATCAAAATAGATCAGTGAAATATCGAAACAATTATATATTAAAGAAAAAATATATATATATTTAAAAAAGTTTATACGCAGCCGTATTTATTAAATTCTAACCATATATATATATATATATATATATATATATATATATATATATATATATATATATATATATATATATATATATATATATATATATATATATATATATATATATATATATATATATATATATATATATATATATGGTAAAGGGCTTTGATACTCAGTTTGTGGTTAAAAACAGCTCTTGTTTGTGGTATTAAAGTTGACAAAATTAAGGATACATTATGTCAAAATGCATTAATTTAATTGTGGTTAAAAACAAAAAATTAAAAAAAAAAAAAACATTCTGAATGTTTTATTTTTATTTTTTAAATGTAAAACATGCGCAGAGTGTTGCTACATTGACTATCTTATAACCTTACTTGCAACAGACTGCTGCTACATCGACTGACGAATAGCCTGACTCACAACAGAGTGCTGCTAGATCGACTGACAAATAACCTGACTCGCAATAGAGTACTGTTTAATCGACTGAGGGTTTGGTATATATGTATATGTATATGTATATATATATATATATATATATATATATATATATATATATATATATATATATATATATATATATATATATATATATATATATATATATATATATATATATATATATACATATATATATATATATATATATATATATATATATATATATATATATATGTATATGTATATATATATATATATATATATATATATATATATATATATATATATATACATATATATATATATACATATCAGGGTGATTCAGAATGAGAGAATTTTCAAAACAAAAATATGTATCTCGCAAAAATTTGGTGTTAATATATATGAATAGGTTTTAAAGCATACTGGCCATTGTTTGACTACTCTAGACCCTCCCTCAAGATTCATTTTTGCGAAAAAAATTGTCAATTTTTTTGTCGAAAGTTGCTAATTTCAGTGACGTTGAGGGAGGGGCTAATAAAAAACAAGTAGGCTAAATTAAAAATTTTTTTATTAATTAAAAAGTGATTCAAGTTTTTATAGAAAAACCAATTTTTAAGTTACTCACACTAATTATGACAAAAACTAGATTTTTTATTTATCTTACAAAAAATTCTACAAAAGAAAAAAAAAGTTTTCTAATTACTTTTGAATTTCTTGAAATTATTTATGTTATTTAAACCTATTTCCATATTCCTTTTTGTCATCTTGCTGGAGCTTTTTTTCAGGTTTTTTCATGGCATAATGAACTTTGTCTATGGTTACCAGTTTTATTTGTTTTTCTTCTTCACTAATGTATCTATAGATAAACTATCTATATCTAAACTATCTATCTAAACTATCTAAACTATCTATATCTAAACTATCTATATCTAAACTATCTAAACTATCTATAGATAAACTCCTGCATCATGCCTACATTTTTTTCTGCATGATCGTTAACTATAATCAAAGGTTTTGCATAGGCTAAAAACTGTTTGTAATATGATTGAGTGTGCCAGAAAGATGGTGGAAGTGACAACCAATCGCGTATTCTCTCTTCTGTAAACCCATTTACTGCAAAAATAAAGTAGGAAAACTGTTAACTAGCACCGCCAAATTTGGTGGATAACTAGCCGTTGTGCTATCTAGGTTGATTATCTCTTTGAAATCCACTTTTAGCTTATTTTTAATTTTGTAATCAGATGCCTTTAAAGATGGCATTTTGTAAGATATAATTGATTTGGCGATTAGTGTTTCATCTTCATCAGGAACTTTATAATCAAGAAGCGAAAGAGGTATCAAAGTTAAGTCTAAGTACCAAGAGTGTTTTAATATTGAGTCAATGACTTTATCTACAGCTTCTTTTACTTGGCAGACTTTATACAGAATCATTTGATAAATAGCTGTAATATCAAAGTATGGGAGCTTTAATAGGATTGTGGCTTTGCAAGTACCATGGAGCATAAAAACAACAAATTAACTCCACAATTTGTTCTACTTGAGCTTTTACATCTTCCTCTTTTATAAAAAAATCTAGTTGTTTAGATAACAGATGTATAATTTGTATAATAAAGTGCTGAGCTAAGAAATCTTGCATGGTGAACCGCACCTGGTTTTTTTATTTTAACAATTCCCAATTTCAATAAATAAATAATATTCATTTTTATCTTCCCTAGCAATATTTTTCTTTTTAATGTTTTTTTTGCAATATTCAAGTGCATCTGTTGCTGCTTTTTTGACTATAATGTAACAGCCTTTAATGACCAATCAAACCTTAATATGTTTTCAGGATTGTCAAATTTATTTCTTAATCTTAAAAAAAAAAATTTCTGTAATAACATACTTTTGTTTTAATATCTTCTTTGTAATATTTGAAATTTCTTTATTTTCTCTTTTCATTCTTCTAACTGCAGTTGAGAAACTTGATTTGATATTCATGTTTACTCCTGCAACTTAAACAACCTGCGTTGTAATTCTCTGCAAAATCAAAGGAGAGATGTTATTAACAGTTGCCGTTAAAGCAACATTTCCGGAATAAATATCTTTAGGAATGTTGGCCCAAAATTTTGTACTGCTTGGTTTATTTTTTCTCTATCCATTCGCCTGACTTGGAGTCAAGATCAGAAAAGTTATCTGAACTTAGTTCAACATTACTGCTAACGTCTTCTTTGTGAAATTTTATAATTTTACTCGGGGATCCATTTTTCATTGCATTATTGAACTTCTTTATATTTAATGATTTTACCTTATATAAAAATAAATTTATTAGTTATAAGTTGTTAGAGTGACAAAAACATAAAGTTAGAGAATATATAATAAATTTAACAAACTGTAAAGAGTATATAATTTAAAAACTAAATGTGTGAATGAGAATCAACATAGTGTCCAAAAACAAAATAAAGTTAGTTAAATCAATATTTTTTATACTAAAAATTTATACAAAATTTTTCTAACATTTACCATAATTCATGGATGTTTTATTTTTGCCATGATACATTCACATTCAACTAGTTGACACCTATCAACATTTAAGTTTGACTTTGGAGGACAATACATAATACTTTTTTGTAATTCCATTAGGCAAATTTGATTGACAATATTTAAAGTGTTGCAAGATATCCATACCCGTTGAAAGTTGCATTCCTAAACCATATAGGTTTTTATTAAAATAGTATTACCAATACTATATAAATAGTATAAATATGCGCGCATTATTTATCTTACAGAGTATAATAGTGTGATGAATTAGTGTTGATATTGAGATGAAAATGTGTTTTAGTGACCATGACTTCTTTTCAGGTAAATACAAAATATCATAAAACCGTATTGATTACTGTACATTTATTTCTATGCAATACATACCTGAAATAGCAGGCGTAACTTTATCGATAATATAAAAAATCTTTTTAGAAGATCTCAAACTATTATTGCACAAAATCTTGTGTTTCTAAACTTTTATTTTGAATTTTAAAATTCAAAAATATGTAAATTTCAAATTTTAAATCAATGTAGTGGCTTCATATTATTAATTTTTTATTTCAAAATAAATTCATATGAAACTTTAATAAAAGAACATGAAGTGTTATGGTTTGCTATTTATTTTATTTTGGGAAATGGCAGGCAGAGGGGGATGAAAGAACGTCAAGGAAACTTACCTTCAAATACGTAACTAATTAAAGTAAAAAGCAATGTACAATATTTTTAACCAGAAAACAATTCTATTATATAAGAAAAAATGTATTTGTATACTCCAAATGCTTTTTTAATATCACAACAAAAGTCATAAATTTTGCTAATTAATGGATAATTTGAATAATAAATGCTCGCTAATAAAACAAAAACAAGTATACATATGATTTTAAATGCAAAATATATGTAGTCTAGGCTCTATTTTTTTAATTCAGCCAAATTGGTTTATATTAGACTCTCCCTCAACGTCACTTGAAATCAGCAGCTTTAGACAGTTTTTTTACAAAAATGAGCCTTGAGTGAAGGTCTTGAGTGGTCAGAAAATGGCCGGTATGCTTTAAAACCTATTTTCTATATACTTGCACTAAATTTAAAGAGATACATTTTTTTGTTTTGAATATATATATATATATATATATATATATATATATATATAGCCTTTATTTAGGCAACCGAAATGGGTTGCAAACTCTTGTATCTTTTGTTAACTTTATTTTATATACACCGTATTTGGATGCGTAATTTTTAAAAAACTGTTATGGGATTTTCGCTTTTGATTTTAAAACCTTTTTGCAGAATCCATATTTTAAACAATATTTTACTGAGAAAAGTGAAACTTAAATACCTGTATCTTGTCTGTATTGAGTATGAGTTTCATTTTCTAAAAATATTATTTTCGGTTATTATTTTATTTCTTTTTTATATACAATCATATCTTTTATATATTAAGTCTAAATTGTTAAATCTAAAATTTTATCTTATATCATTTATCTTTGTCAGGAAATGGATATATCTATATCCATTTCCTGACAAGAACTTGGTATTATGCTACATAATTTACAATTTTATTTAATGTTGCTATAACTTCATACTCTTTCTTTAAGTAATTCTACGCCTACTTTCCTTATTAAAATATGTGTTTGTTTTTGTTGTTTGTCATAATATTGCAGCATTTTCTTGTGCCTATTAAATTGAGGAATTTAGTAATATTATGTTAATTGGTTTGTCACATTATCTTTACTACAACACACACACACATGCACACACACAGATATATATATATATATATATATATATATATATATATATATATATATATATATATATATATATATATATATATATATATATATATATATACATATATACATATATACATATATATATATATATATATATATATATATATATATATATATATATATATATATATATATATATATATATATATATATACATATATATATATATATATATATATATATATATATATATATATATATATATATATATATATATATATTAGTTTTATTGGATTTTGCACTTTCTAATGTACAAGCTAAGAACAGTTTAGCTTTCCAGCTGAATATTTAACTCAATGTAAAAATAAATTTAAAACAATTCATATCAGTATTTATTAAAACTGCAATAAAAATGAAATTTGAAAAATGCATACAAGCAGTTTGACACATAATGACTTATATAAGAGTCTTTTTACTTTGGCTTCTTTTGGGCAAATGGAAGTGAGGCATTTGCATCTTTTGTTGAACTTGTTTTATATATATATATATATATATATATATATATATATATATATATATATATATATATATATATATATATATATATATAAATAATAAAATAATACTAAATTTAAGTAAATACAATAATTTAGGTAAAAAAATTTAAATACAAAAGTTACTGAACAAAATTCTATAACTTAAAAAAATAAAAAAATTACTTGTATCTTGTGCATAACTAATAATTGTCTCATTTTATGAAAAAATTTTCATCTTATTACTATTTTATTTTTTTATTGCCTAGTATTGTAATACTTTTATCTTTTATATATTAAGTGTTGATTATTAAAAATATAACTTGACATACTATCATCTTTTATTTATTAAGTCCTAAAGCCTTAATTGTTGAAAATAAAATTCAAGATGCAAGCTACATATTATTGGTATATGCTAATAAAACTTACAAAAACAAGGATAAAGATAGTTACAAATGAAATTAAAGATTAACGACTAACACATGAGAAGATGTGTAACATATTAACATATTATATAAATAGTTAACATGTAATATAATTATAACATTCAAATTTAATTACAATTATAAAATATTTATAATTATAACATATCATTTAAATACCTAATAATAAAAAAATGTGTAACATACTTAAATACAAAATAAATAATTTTGATTTAAATGTGTAACATATTAAAAGCAAAGCAACCATTATTAGACTTTTACAGGGCTAGACACACTTTCTTTTACAGGACTAGACACACTTTCTATTACAAAGTGTTCTATTATTATGTTGGTGAATTGTACGTGTTAGAAATCACGTAGAAGCGTGTTGAAAGTCACGCATCTACGTAAGTTATTTCAACTGTAATTAACAGTATATTCTCATGGGACTTTTTAATTTAATATATATAGAGAAAAGATTTTTGTATAGGATGTTAGAAATAATATATAAAGCTATAGACTATAAACGTTATTAAATTAAATGGACGCGACGATAAAACAAGCTATTTCGGCCATTATGCCACCGGTATTCGATGGCAACCATCAGCGGTTCGTCCGCCAACTACGAACATACATAACTGCGATGGACGTACCAGAATCCAAAAGAAAAACAATAATATTAACATGTTTGCCACCACAGATTTATTTCGCACTAGAAGATCTATGCTTGCCTGCATACCCTGAAGATGACTCAGTTACCTACGAAGACATCGAGGAAAACATCATGAAGCTTTTTAAACCGAAGTCATCGTTAATACTACGCTTTGAATTTGCAACTTTAAAAAAAGCAAGTAACGAAAATGTGACGGAATTTTCACAACGGATTACAAGAGCTGCTGAAGGATGCAAATTCACGGATAGAGATGATCGAATGCGCGACCAATTCATCACGGGTTTTAACGATGGTGTTACAATCAAATGGTTACTACTGGAATCTGAAGAACTAACTTTTGAAAAGGCTGTGGAAATAGCTGTTACCCTTGAACAAGTAACCTAGGAAGCTCGACAATTAGATGGTTCCGAGAATGTAATGATTGGCGCAACATCGTTACTTTCACAGACGTCTGGTGCGTCCGACATAAACAAAGTTAAATATTTCAATTGTGGAAAACTTGGACATTTTGCAAGGGACTGCAAAGAAAAATGCAAGACTTGTTCACACCATCATCAAGCTAAAAACTGCTTTAAACGATTGCAAGGTTTAAAAGGAAAAGGGAGAATCTGGAAATAATGGCATCCAGTATTCTCCCAGAAATGACGTTGCCATCATTAAAAGTGAAAATAAATGGAAGGCTCCGAACAGCATTAATTGATTCTGGATGCTCCATTACTGTGGTTCATGCTGAGTCCGCGCATGGGCTTGTGTTAAAAAGTCAAAAACTTAACTTTGGGAGGAACTGTGCAAGTGCTGGGTGAAATGGTAATCAATCTGGAAATTGATGGAATACACCGAATGGTTAATTCTCTGGTTGTAAAAGAAAAACCATTTGGATTTGATTTGATTGTTGGAATGAATGCAATTAAAAAATTTGGAGGAGTTATCATTTATGGCAATAAAAACTGTAACGTCCGAATGTTAGCATGTGACAAAGCGAAATGTGGTGCCGTTACTACGACGAGAAAAAACGAAAACGAAATAAACGAATTAAAAATTGATGTTATTAATACGACAAGAAAAAGCGAAAACGAAGTACAAAAAATAAAATGTGATGTCAAAAATACAACAAGAAATGAAGAGAACGAAAGAAACGAAATAAATCATGGAACTGGAATAAAGAGCCTGTAATTGATAATACCATTTGTGAATACAAGACGAACCAAGAGCACGAACGTAGTTACCGTAAAGAAATACGTGAATGGATTAACTCTGGTATTCTTGTACCATATAACGAACTAATATTGGGACAACCAAAAGTATTGATACCGCTTATGTGCGTAGTGCAAGAAAACAAGGACAAAAAAGTACGTCCAGTGGGAGATTTCCGAGCTCTCAACGAATTTGTAAATTGTCATACGGCAAATGCGGACGTTTGTCAAGAAAAACTGCCTTGCTGGAGAAAAATAAAAAATGCAAAAATTCTCGATCTTAAAAAAGCCTACCTCCAAATTCATATTGATAAAAAATTTTGGCCATATCAAACGGTGATTATAAATGGGCAACGGTATTGTTTTACCAGGATGTGTTTTGGCATCAATGTGGCTCCAACAATAATGACCACAATTCTTCGGCATGTGCTCAATTTAAATCCAACCGTAAAGAAAGCATGTGATAACTACATTGATGATATATTTGTGGATGAAAGTGTGGAACCTGCGAAAAATGTAGCGAAGCATCTGCTTAAATTCGGATTACAATGTAAACCTCCACAAGATCTTGAACAAGGACGTGTCTTAGGATTGAGAGTCGAAAGAAATAAAAATGGGGAACTGATATGGAAACGAGACAATGAGGTACAATTCGAATCTTTAAATGCAGTCACACGATCACAGCTTTTCAGCCAGTTAGGCAAACTTATTGGACATTACCCAGTGGCAGGAAGTTTGCGATTACAAGCTTCTTACATCAAACGTTTAGCTGGAAATATACCTTGGTGTGATTTTATTTCTGAAGATTGTAAAGAAAAACTGAAAGAGTTGCTTTACCGTGTGGAAAAAGAGGATCCGGTTGGTGGAAAATGGCTGGTACCAGTTAATGGGAAAGCTGAGCTTTATTGTGATGCATCATCTATAGGACTTGGGGTAGTTCTGCTCATTGGTGGAGTAGTTGTTGAAGACGCAGCATGGCTACGGCCAGCGAGTGACACACACCATATCAATATAAGTGAACTGGATTCTATACTTCGAGGACTAAACTTAGCTAGTAAGTGGGGCATAAAAAAGTTAACAGTGATAGCAAGAGCACCATAGGATGGTTAAACACAGTTTTGAAGGAAGAATATCGCGTAAAAACTCGGGGAATTTCTCAACTGTTAGTACAAAAACGATTGAATACTATTAAGGAAGTGGCAAAAGATATTCAGATCGCAGTACAATGGATTCCATCTGAGATAAATTTGGCTGATCGACTCTCACGAATCCCTCAAAAATGGTGCAGAACAGTGTGTGCAGCTGGATTACTTGAACAAAAAGACATATGGAAAATTCATTCAATTGGTCATTTTGGTGTTGCTCGAACATTAACATTACAACTTTGCTTGCGAAATAATCAGAATGTATCACGTAAGGAGGTTTCAGCAGTAATTGCGAATTGTAACCAGTGTAACTCCATTGATCCTTACTCCGTAAAGTGGAAGAATGGCCAACTAAGCGTAGAAAAAAATTGGAATCGGGTTGCCATTGACGTGACGCATGTAGGTGCTGAACTGTACTTATCAATGATTGACTGTGGTCCATCACGGTATACAATATGGCGTAAACTTGTAACTAAAGCAGCTGCTGAAGTTGTTGGTAGACTCGAAGAAATATTCTCTTTATTTGGTCCGCCAGTATGTCTTCTAATGGACAACGAATTTCGGTCCAACACGTTAACAAGTTTTGCTGAAGAATGGCATGTTAACTTGGAATATCGAGCAGCACATCGAGCTCAAGGTAATGGTATAGTTGAACGTATACACAGAACGATAAAAAGAACGGTCGTTCGCTCACATTGTTCAATCGCTCTGGCAGTCTTGCTGTACAACGAGACAATATCATCCAATTGTACTGAAAGTCCATCCAAGCAATTCAAGAAAAGATGGACATGTTTCATCCCAGGCGTCGATACTCGGAGGAAGGTAGACAAGAAAGGCATAAGCAAGAAATTCAAAGTGGGTGACAATGTTTGGGTAAAACCAACTCAAGAAACAAAATGTGACCAGCCGTGGATACCAGGCGTAGTACGAAAGCAAAATACTTTGTCGTTTGATGTGGAAACTGCGAATCGGGTATATCCGCGTCACATTTCACACCTGCGTCGCCGTACAGACGTACAGAGTTCAAATGAATCAGTCAACGATGTTTTTTATAGACTAAACAATAAAACTGATATAGGAAGTTATATGATGATGTCGCTCAAGTTCAAAATGATTCTCAAGAACTCAACGTGCTGCAAGTAACACGCTCCGGACGAACAGTAAAGCCCCCACAAAGATTAGACTTATGAGTTAATTCACCAAGCATGTTCTATTATTATGTTGGTGAATTGTACGTGTTAGAAATCACGTAGATGCGTGTTGAAAGTCACGCATCTACGTAAGTTATTTCAACTGTAATTAACAGTATATTCTCATGGGACTTTTTAATTTAATATATATAGAGAAAAGATTTTTGTATAGGATGTTAGAAAGAATATATAAAGCTATAGATTATAAATGTTATCAAATTAAATGGACGCGACGATAAAACACAAAGGCTAGACACATTTTCTTTTACATGGTTAGACACACTTTCTTTTACAGGGGTAGACACACTTTCTTTTACAGGAGTAGACACACTTTCTTTTACAGGGGTAGACACACTTTCTTTTACAGAGCTAGACACACTTTCCTTACAGGGCTAGACACACTTTCTTTTACAGGGGTATACACACTTTCTTTTACAGAGCTAGACACACTTTCCTTACAGGGCTAGGCACACTTTCTTTTACAGGGGTAGACACACTTTCCTTTACAAGGCTAGACACACTTTCTTTTACAGGGCTAAACACTTTCTTTTACACCTTTACAAGGCTAAACACTTTTCACAAATAAATTTCATTAAATTTTAAAAATAATTTAAACATTATTTACAAATACATTAAACATATTATTTAAAATGTTTTAGTTAATTTAATGTTAATTGAATGCCTAAAGTTAAGGTAAGACATTTTTAAGGTAAGACTATTTTAGTTTTTATTTATTTTTTCTAATTATTTGAACGACATCATGCATAATGTTGTTTAAATAATTATGTAACTTGATGTGGTATAATATTTAATTAAATAAATGAAAAAGCTAGTTGTGGCTATCATATGACCATAGATATAAAACATATTGTTGAATATAATGCCATTGATGTTGCCACATTTTAAATATTGATCACATTTTAAATTTAAAAAAATAGTAAATTATGATTCCATTGCAAAAATGACATGACATCACACAGCTTACAACTTTATTAGTTTTTAATAATTCATGTTTAAACAGATGTTATAATGAATATTTTTGAGAGTTGTTATCAAACATAAATTTTTGCTAAAAATTTTTTTTTTTTATTTGTAAACATCAAAGTTTTATTTAATGAAGAAAAGAATTATCTTTAATGTGTGCTGCAAGAAAGAAACAGTGGGAAAAACATTCTAAAATGGCAGACAAAGTAAGCAAACTTTAATGCAATTAATACATTTTGATGGAAGTAAAAAACTTAAACCATTTTTAAAATTTTAACCATTTTCTTTATTAGATTCAAAAATTTAAAGCAACTTACGATACAATTTGTTAAATTTATTAATTTTTTTTATGCATCTTCAAAAAATTTTCATTTTGTGTTTCAGCGCAGTATTTTAAACAACGTACTGAATTTAAATATATACATGACTTTAACTTTAAATATATACATGTCTTTTGAGATAATTAACCGGTTTCTTACGTGTAATTTGAAAAAAAGGAAGATTCAGTATACTCAAAAAAATTATGAAATACCTCTATAAGATTACCATAATAAAACTAGATAAAGAAAATAATGTTGTCATTCTAGACAGAAAAACGTATGATAAAGGAATATACATAATAATAAATGATAAAACTAAGTTTAAATTACTCAATAAAGATGTTACTTTTAGTAGGGAAACACAGCTTTAGAACTTTTTAAGAAAATTAAAAAATAAAGGTTTTTTGATGATGTAATAAAAATTTATTTTTCTGGCTCACAACCTGCTTGAGTTTATGGTCTTCCAAAAGTGCGTAAAGTATGTCCTGATAATTGGAATTTATTTCAATTATCAAGACATACTTTAATTATTAGTTTATTAGAGGTTTACTGTCATCTGTAATATCTTTTGATTTTTTTACAAAAGACTCATTCAGTTTCTTAAAAGATGCGAATCAAACTAACATTCATGGAAAATACTTAGTATCTTAAGATGCCACAAGCCTGCACCTCTTCAAGGAACTATGGATATTGTTGTTAATATAGATTAACAGCAATATCCATCCACAATAAATAAGATTTATGTCTCTGTATGTGGGAGTTCTAGTTCCAGATTGATGGGTGGATTCTAAATTTTATTTTATTTACACTTACATACACTGCCCAGAATATGCTTCTATATGGTTTTGTCATAAAAAGAGCAATAAGTTACATGAAGCTCCATTAATTTTTATTTTTTAATAAATAAATTCATACTCCTAAAAAAAAGAAGCACAAGAAATTTGCTTAGCAAAATTAAGGTTCGATAGGGGTCTTCTTCCTGAGAGTATTTTGTATTCAATGTTAAACTCAGAGGAAATTGACGAATAGCTTTAGAAATTACTTGAAATTAGAAATCATAAAAAGTTAGTCAAACTGTAAACTGAACCAATAAAACTAATTTTTTAAGAATCTCATGTTTTTTTAAATTACAGTTGCTAGTAGTCCAGCTTTTTTTTTGAAGTAGTCTCTAAATGTTCTGTGCTTTTGAAAAACATGTTTTTTTACTGATAAAGTAAAAAAGGTTTTTAACTATTTTCAACACTATTAAAAACTACAAAATGTTAATAATCAAGTTTATGAATAAATAATCATACTATACAAACAAAAAATTTTGAAAATATATTCAAAATTATTTTCTTTTTGTTTGATGTTAAAATTTTTTTTTTTTTTGACTAAGCATGGAGCTGCACTAAGTCCTACATCGCATTCTACACATTCATATCTCAGATTTTTTTGAAATTTGTGTTTGCGACATACCATACACATCTAAACCTTAATCTTTCATTATCTTTTTCATTATTCATTCATCAAATATAACTTTTCATTCATCATTCATCCTTATATAATTTTCGTTCTCTTTGTGAGTAAATATTCCCTTTTTTGATGATGATTATTACACTCAAAGAACTTCGTTGTTTTATTTGTTATAAATAATATTATGTTTTTATTATGTAATAATAAAAGTGGTTTTTATTAATAATAAACTTTTAATAATAATGCAAACCATGTAAAACACGATCAACTTCTTACCAATAAATCTTAACACTTTAAATTTTGCAGTTTCACAAAACATTCTAAAATACTCTCTAAGTATACAGAATAAAAAGATGTTTTTAAAAATTAATAGAAAAATTAATTACCATTTGAATCTTTGAAAAAGTTTACTCCTTTTTTTCTTCTCTTTATTAAAGGTTCTAGAATTAAATTTAAATCATTATTTTAAATCTTTTATATATACTTTTTATATATTATCTCTTATATTATCATATCTATTAAGTTTTAATTGTTAAAAAAAATAATCAAGAAACATAAAAGCTACAAATGTGATTAAATGCATAAAGCTACATTTATTAGTGATAAATGGGAATAAAATAAACACATACCGGGCCAAACATTTGAAACAATTAATAATGAAATTAAAAAAGAATGCTAAATATTTTTAAAACCACAATAAATATTTCTATGTCAAAAATATAACAATATTTAACATCGGGGCAATATTTATTAAAAGTAAATAAAATTAAATTTATTACATAACAGAAGCTTACAAAATATGTACTTAAAACAAGTACACAAAATAAAAATCAATTTTACATTGTTTATTTACTGGTTTTTTTATTAAAAACCACTCATAGACTAAATCATTTTTTTTTACAAGTTTAGTACATTTTGAATTTGTTTATTTTATTATGTTTATGGTTATTTAAATTTTTAATACAGTTATTAGATAAAACTAATTAAAATAAAATTAAAGATTAATTAAATTAACCTTTTTTTTAATTAGTTACCTTTTTTCCTATGCTTTTTCAAGATTAAACCAATTACCAAACAAGTTATAAGTGCAAGCATAATAGTTACAGAAAGCCATATTTTAATTGTTTTATCTTTGTGATCCTCTTAAAAAAAAAAGTTAAATTATTTTAATATAAAAAGAATTGTGTGAAACTTGTGAAAAAATCCATTACATACTTGAGCAGTAAACTTTGCCACAATATTATTTACAGTATGTAAACTATATATATATATATATATATATATATATATATATATATATATATATATATATATATATATATATATATATATATATATATATACATATATATATATATATATATATATATATATATATATATATATATATATATATATATATATATATACATAAACAATATTCGGGCAATATTGTTTGCTACTTTAAATAAAAACCTGTTAAACTATTTAAAGATTTTTAATTTGAAAAAAACTTTAAGAATTAATTTTTGTCAAAATATAACTTAAATGTATATTGCATTTTAAATCAACCAGTTTATTAAATGTTTTATTATGTATAAAAAAAGGGTAATTAAAAAAATGAACATAAAAATGAAACAGAATCAACCTAGTTGAATCAAATCAAAAAATTCACTTCTCAGAACTAATTTTAACTTCTCAAAATAAATTAATTGACAGATGCAATTGTACTACTGTATTGTACTAATTTGAGTAATGAAAAAATATTATTTAGGTATTATTAGTATGATGAAAATAAATCTAGTATGATTAAAATGAAGGGATCCTGATGAAAATAATTGGATCCTGATGAAATGAATAAAAATATGCTCATTTTTTTATAATTTTGTATAACAAGAAATAATTACAAAATTATCTACAAGTTTGATTTGCTTAATCCCAAAACATTCTAAAAAAATTTAAACCTTCTAAAAAAATTGTCTGTGCAAAAAAGGTTTTTTACTTAATAGGAGAAACTTGACATCATTTAATGCATTCAAAGAAAAACTCAATAGTATTTTATGATGATTTTAAGAAAAAGTGCAACAAATATCATACAGCACACTTAATTTATTTTTAATTTTTTTCTACTGGATCAGGATGTAAACTAGACCCGAATAAATAGGCAGCAAATAAAGTACAATCTAAAAAATTAATAAATTTGTTATTTTGTTGAATAAAAGCTTCTATTCCTGCCTGAATACAGGAGGTTACCTAGGAGACAGAATTTTCAGCTGAGAGAGATAAGACATCAGCCCAAGGATCGTCACCAAGAATATCACAAAAAGAATCCCTTTCAGCTTTTGGGTAGTAGTAAGTAGTGCGATGATAGGGTGAGTCTAAAAAGGAAGTACGAGATGAAAGATTTAAAGAGATCATTGCATGGTTACAATAACCTAAAGGCAAAAAAAGATTAACTGAACACAAGCTACAATCAAAGACAAGGCATAAATCAAGGAGTGATGGTAAATGATTAGGGTTGTCCGGAAAACAAGTCACTAAGTTAATTATCTGAGTAAGAAATTGAGAAAAAAGAAGCTATTGGCTTTAGTGCCAGCAGGGTCAGTGGTGTTATAGCCAAGCTATTTAGTGTGATGATCAATAATGTAACCAATAACAACAATATTGGCAGATGGTAAAGAGAGAGCATGGTCAATTTAATCAGAAATTACATCTAAAAGAGTGCAGTCTTAGGAAGAAGGAGATCGATAAAGAACAAAGAGAAAGATGATAGTGTGAAAAGGTGCTAATCGAAAGCGCATAATATAAGGGTCAAAGTATTCAAGTTTGATTTCATGACAAATAGATGAATAGATGTGTATGTATACCCCTAAGCCAAGCATGTGACTATTGGATTCTTTGCAAATCAGAGGATAGAACCCATCAACACTGAGATTAGAAGAAGAAATAACAAAATTTAAATTAGTCTCACCAAGAACAAGCAAACCTGATGAATTTTCTAGCGGTAAAATTTAACTGATGGAAGATTGCTTCGCAGGCCATGAATATTAGTAAAATATATATTAAAAAAGCTAGGTGGTGAGAATGGTTTTTTATGTTTAATACTTTGGGTTTTTGGCATGATTTAATTTTAAAGATAACTTGACTATTATAAATCATCTATACCATCCATGCACAACATGGCACTGTTAACACTCTGATATTTTGCTGCTGTTGATGGAATAAGCCTCTCTGAGAGCTACCACAGAGTTCGGGAAACCTTACTACTAACTGGCCTCAGAATCATTAAACTGAGTTTTAGAGCTGTATCCTAATTAGGAGATATCAGGAAGAGTTGCACAGCCACTATCAAAAAGTAAAAACCTAAGAGAATAGTCAAGAAGATCCAGCATTCATCATCGTAGGCAGGAAATAAAGTAACACAGGTTTACATATACGCTAGCCTAATAGATGAAGAAGGGGTTTAAGGCACATTAGCAGAATTTTTCTGCTTATCCCTAAAGTCTTTGTCTATGAGGCCTCCAACTTGACAGTAGCTGGACACGGGTACCCTGAAAAAGACCTAAGACCTTATATCAAGTCCCAGGAAATTTTTTTTTTGATTTCGAATATAGTACATTTGTACATTCTGAAACTATCAAAATTTAAATCATTTGTTGGTAGCTTTTTGAGAAAACTTATAAAGAAGTTTTATAAATAACGATGTTTTTGAATTAAAATAATATTTTTCCGTCATCCATTATAGTTGTTTTCTTTTTGTAATTGCAATAGCGTGATTGGCTATAATAATATTTATTTGTTTCTGATTGACTTATAGTTGTTGTTGTTTTAAAAGACTTTAATAATATTTATTTGTTTTAAAAGACTTTAACAACATTTAAGCAATAACAGCGAGTTTATTTAATTATTTAAATAAAAAATTTATATTAACTTAAATTTAGGAGCCAATTGAAAAATATAGGAACCATTTCTCAAGAATAGAATAGAAATGTCATACTTTGCTAGAGATCAATACGAGTTTTTAAAATGCTTTTGCATATGCTGTATAAAAAAATTAATGATTTAAGATGCATTCAAACTGAATGCAATAAGCCAGATCCAAAACAAGAAATAAATTATGAAAAACTATCTGCCTAATATATTATGTTCTTATTGCAGAAAAAATCTTGTTAATTTAAAAAAAAAGATTCAAAAATGATTTTTATTCAACGCTTGACCTAAGTACAAAAGTAAGTTTTATAAAAAAAATAAGCCAATAAAAAAAAAATGCCAATAAAAATAAGCCAATAAAAACTAATTATGGTTTGCATTATTGTTGTGCTTTTAAACAATATTGTATTTACACTAAAAAAATAACTTCTTATTACTTTTAGATCTTAATACTAAAATTGTTCTAGGTGGGAAATGTGAGTGTTTTATTTGTGTTAATGAGCGTAAAAATGGTACTGAAATAGCAATTTTTCCATCAATAGTATCATGTGAAACCAGTACAGATATAGATCATAATCACTAATTTAAATCTTTCCACAATCAATCAAAATTTTGTTCTTTGCAGAAATCGTTTTCAAAAAATTAAAAAAAGGTATTAAATATCCTTTCACAAAGTTAGCTAAGCAAAGGAATTTGACACATTGTACAATCCATCTCACGTATAAAAAAAAGAAAAGTTTTATCAACTACACTTAACAATTTAGTAACCCATAATGCAAAAATAACGTTGAGCAATTTTGGCCCTAAGAAGCTTGTTGTTTCTATTGACATAGTTAACCAAAAACAACTTACTTTTCACACTCAAAACTGAAACAACTACAGAGAAAATTTCATACAGGGTATAGATTGTGTACTACAAAATTCAAAAAATAAAAATTATTTAAAAAAAAACATTAATTTTTTTAAACATTTGTATCAAATTTACTAGTGACTATAAGATGTTAGAAATTGCCTGATTTATATGAGTGAAAGGAGGAAAAAATTCTGTCAAATCTTGTTTTTATAAAAAGTTAACAGAAGAAAACAAAAATCTATTGTCTTTGTTTGATGCTGAGCTTATGCTTAGATTCTGTCTAAACAGGATACCGCTGATAATAAAAAAGTGGCATTACTAAATTAATATATATATATATATATTTCTATAATGAATAGTCGAATGAATATTATTATTATTAGTGCGCATAGTTACGCATTGTTACGCCTATTGTTCGTTTTGTTAATTACGGTTCTGCATTATGTAAAATACACTATTTCTTTGCTTCTAGAATTTTCTAAGCGCAGTTATGTATTCCACGCGGTCATTCGAGTAAAATCAGCAAGCAAATTGGAGCTGATACACATATTTTCAAGAAGAATTAATGTTGTTTATTTTTTAAAATAAAAATTTAAATAATTGTTAGTTTGTTATGTATATATATATATGTATATCTATAAATTAGTAGAAAATCACTTAGCAAAATTTTTTCTCATTTTACACTGTGTTTCATCAATAAAGACTCATCAGAAATGAATGATCAAATTAATAAAACTTCAATTTATACCAAAAATTAAATTACAGGAAGTCACATGTCTTAACTACTGCACTTTTTCACACATTTGTGTAATTTGCTGACACTATTGTAAAAAGAATTCTTTAGAAATGATTACTTAAGCTTTTTTAAAAAATAATATATTTTTTTCAAAGGGGAGTTAATGTAACTATTATTTGAGCTAATAGTTATTTTTATAGTTTTTTAGGAGAAACTTATTTTCTAAAAATATTAGGCTCCTTATTAACATTTGTTGAGCACTCTTAATTGTATTTTAACATTCCGTGTAAATATGGAAACTAATAATTTCACTTACTCCTTGAAAAATATACCTATACTAGATGAAAAAAGTTATACTATTTCTTTGATTGAAAAAGTTGAGCATTTTATAAAAAGAATTCGTTGGAAAGCGCATTTTTTCTTAAAACCAAATACAAACACAGATGATGTATTTAATAATAACCAAGATAATGATAATTATGGATTTAAAACAAAAAATACCCCACGTTTCATACCTGATTTGGAAAATTTTGAAAATGACCTATTGCATTTAATTAAAACAATAATGTTTTGCGCTATAAAAAACAAATTTCAAACAGAATTAAAGTTAGATGTTAAAAAAATTAAATCAAACCCTAATATTT